GGAATGATCATCTTAACAGTTCAAAGACGTCCTGTCAATATATTTTCATATTTCTTAGAAAATTTGAATTCACTGTTTTGCTATTCTAAGAATTCTAAGTTCAAATGAAAAAGTCAATTAATTTCAAATCTTTTTTTGTTCCCATACAAGGTAATGATAAGATTGCAAAAATAATACAATTTATTCAGGAATACAGAGGGAGGGAACTGCTCGGCTTCAGCAAATACATAATGTTTGAGGGGGATCTGCAGGGCCATGTGGCCACTTAAAGCACCAGCCATTAAATTACTCAACACTATCAAAGGTATTGTCACACATTTTCATGTTCATGTGAGAGTATTGAGTATAAAACCAAAATGAATAGAGCACAAATTAATGTTTTTGTAGTTTTAGCACATCTGAATTGTTACAAATTTGTTGCTGTTTGTCTTTTGAATTATGTATTTTTTTTCTCAAGAAATAATTTTAGAGCAATTCACTGATGTGGTTTATCAGTGTTTTCAGAACTACCCTGTTCTTCAAAATATCACTTTGGTAAATATTCCTTTTTAAGGTTGGAATAGAAATGTACATCAAACTTGCATTGTTAATCACGTTTAATTAAATTCACTTTTCTCTGTACTTCTTCACTTGACTCTAAAATAATAAAATCGATATCATTCAGTCAAGCCAACAAGCCAAGGCAGAGGTGAGGATCTCAGAGCAGTTTGAAATGAAAAACATGATCTACACTCAAGACCTGATTTACTTGAAGTTCTTGAATGAGATTAGCGATGAGAAATTTTTAGAAGATGAATTACCTGTCTTTGACATAAAAAGCAAGTACAGTAAAAGGCTGGAGGCGTATTATGAGGTATACAATATGACAATATAACGTTTTCTCAGGAATAACTTGCAGTGTTTGTGCTGTGTGCAGGTAAATTTAGTAGGTTTTGTATTTTCTTTCAGATTGTGGAGCAGCGGATGTCTGACCAACTGCCCATGATGATCTCCTTTTTCATGCTGAAGGAAACTGCTCAGCTTCTGTCTATTGACATGTTGAGTTTACTGGATGGGGCAAATGTGAGCGTGCTCCTGTTTGAAAACTCTAATGTTGGTAGAAGACGCAAAGACCTACAGGCCTGCCTGGACCGTTTGACTGCTGCTCAGGAAGCACTTAGTGATTTTATTTGAGGGATCATCTGACTAGAAGATATTACCTGAAAATGCATGATGTATTTGACAACCTAATCTATAAAAATCTCTTCAGCATATGAATACAGTGCATTATTTAAACTTTATCTAATGTATCTGATAATGATAATCTATAGAATGTATCTGACAGTTTAATTCATATAACTTTCTTCAGTATCGTAATACGTTTCAGCCATTGTAATGAAATGACTTCCAAATAACCAATTAAAAATCATTTTGGCAAACATCTTGTTTCCATGCCATTCACATGGTATGTTGTAAAGGTATCTTACTAGGCTCTCTCTGTGGATCATGGTTGTCTGTTTGACCTTCTTGGGAGCTCTAAAGAAATTAAGAACCGCATTAGAAAAAGGAAAAGTTATGAACAGTTTTGGGTGCATGTGTCTCAAAGTACAATCCAGCTGCAATCCTATGATTATCAATATTAAACACTTGACCTGCTTAGAAACAGCATATATTGTGAAAAGCGCTATACAAATCAAATTTAATTGAATGAATGACGTTTTCACTTTTTAAAATCACTTTCACTGTGCACTTGCTTGTATGAATTATCTTTTGCCACGCATATGATAAAATTTCTGAGTTTAAGTTTAAGGTTAAGATTCAATTTAATCTTTAATAAGTATTTGCAATATTTAAACCCGCAAAGATGAGTATAAAGTGATTGTATGACTTTTGTAAATGACAAAGCATGATTGACAGTTTACTTGTACCTACTAAAAATGTTTTTTGAATCAAAATTATAATAAAAAAGGTGTCAACTTACAGTGATTTCTCCACCAACTAATGTACATCTTAACACAACAAACCTATAATTCATAAATTCTTCTTGGTTTTCTCTTTATGAACTTATTTTCACTTCTTCAAGCAAATATCTAAATAAACACAAATCAACTTTTAATCTTTAATTTATTATCTATGGGTGTGATACAAAACGTTTTATCACAGGTGTCATATGCTACAAATTGAGTCTGGCACACTGATTCTCTGATTCTCTTCAGCACTCCAGAAAATAGACACTGAAAGCCACATTAGCCAACTGAATAAACCAGTTGATTCTTAAATGACTGAAAATATGGTCCACACCCAGATTTGTGTCTTACAGAAGTGTCACAAACATGAGTATGAAACCTCTCTTGTTGTTTCATCAGCAGCATAAATTCCCTGGATACATAAGTTGATGTGAATGCATAGTCTTTCAAAGTGTACTTCATTTGATATTGAACACAAACACGGTCACATGCACATTAGAAAATGTCACCCTTCTCTGATGTTTGTGCAATCTCTCTCTCAAAATAATGACATGAAAATGTCTTTGTTCTCTTTTAAACTAGAGCTGCGAGTATCACTAGTTACATAAGCGCTTATCCACACAGGTGTCTAATTTTGTTGCGGTATGCGCGAGGAAATCATGCGTCACGTTAGTTCTGGCAGGTCACGTTAGTCAAGCTCGCATCAGCTGACTCTCAGCTGATCCCCATCTACCTATAGAAATACGACACCCATCCAAGCATTCATATATAAGTTCCCTCAGTATTATCAGCAGTTTTCGCATTGCTCAATAGCTAATTACCCTCCTCCATCCCCAACTCCTCCTCTGTCAGTCAGGATTCAGCCTTCTGATTATCCTTTGAATCAGACTAATTCTAAAATGTGTACATAAAATTATTGAACTTTAACGATATCTGCAATACATTTATGTTGGTTCTGTTCTGTTTATCGCTGCTCTCCCTGCTCTCATCCATGCTAGGCTGCTATGCCAATACCAATTTCTTGTACACCAACATCTAATGAACAGATGAACTCAGTGAACTCAATGAACAAAGGTTATATGCATAAAAATAAATAAAAATAACATTAATTCAAATACAAATACAGCATTTTGTAGGATACAGTAATACTTACAGATACAGAGTCAAATTTCTCCCTTAGGCATGGTTATCTCATTAACTTAGGCCCTGCATTAGTACATTTTCGTTTTTAAAACGCTCCTTGTCTACACTGGCATTCTCACTGCATTTCAGAAATGATCCGTCCACACAACACAACTGAAAACGCATGTCACATGACCATTCATGCCGGAACAACCATAGATATGTATAGGTAAAGCCCTATCATGGCGGATGGGTCTATGTGCTTGGAGCGGTCGAATGGGGAATCTACCTATACAAATCTATGGGTTCAACAATGAGCATGATGTTATTGTTTACACGGTCATCAAGGATACGCAGAGAGATTGTGGGCAGCCACATCATTGTTTTCAAAAGTCTCTGTTTTGGTCTGTTTACGCTGAAACGCAACCCCGGAGTTTTCAAACTAAAACAGAGTCTGCAGCGTTTTAAAAAATTGGCCTTTTCCAGGGTCGAAAACACAGAAGAAGTGTAAACGACAGGTGTAACCGTAGCAAACGTTATGCGTTTTAAAGCGAAAACGCACTAATGTAACTGGTGTAAATGTAGCCTTAAGTCAACACAGAGAGTTCTGATTCCATCAAATCCCAAAATTCTGGAAATGAATATTACTAAAGAAAAAGTTTAAAACAGTAGTAGCACCCCTGCTGAAAAAAAAAAAAAAAAAAAGCTAAAACCAACCTAAGTTGGTTGGCTGGTCTTAGCTGGTTTAAGCTAAAGAAGCAGCCAAAACCCCTCTAAAACCAGCCTGCTGACCAGCTAACTAGGCTGGCTGACCAGCTAAAACCAGCCAACCAGCTTAGGCTGGTTTTAGCTGTTTTTTTCAGCAGGGTCTTCATTGGGAAAACAGAGAAAGCCCTCATTTTAAACAATTGTTACAAGAATTGTCTCATTGTTTGGCTTTGGAAAAACTCACATTTATTAAAGGTTTTCAAAGTATGGATTCACTTTAGGCCTGTTTGTCACACCCCTGCTGCTAGGAAAAAGCAGGCACGACGAAGATCATATAATCAAATCCTTTTTAATGGTAATCCACAAGCTAAAGAGGATCTAATACACAGGGTAAACTTAAACAATGACTGACAAACTGAGACTGAACAGACAGGAACTTAAATACTTAAATGGCCATTAAATATTTAGTGTATGATGCCGATGGCAAGTCATGTAATGTATTACAGCCTTAAGGAGATGACAAAACGGCAGTCTAAAGGTCCACTCTCAAAAGGTCAGACTATATCAATTCCTACTTTCTGCCATGGGTCTGATGGCAGACTTACAGGCTTAGGTTGGACAGGTGCAGTTTTTGCTGATTTATCATTCATTTCGCAGGCCAAGCAGGAGGAAACTGCAGACTGCACTTGAGCATCCATCTAAGGCCACTAGAATAATTCACGCAGCCTTTGTTTGGATTGAATAATTCCTCATACGTCATACGTATGCATTATCTGTGTAGCAAAGCAAGCGCGCTGACCACTGGGAAACCTATCAATGCCCAGTGGTCAGCCTGTCAATCTGTCAAGGCTCAAACTCAATTCCTGGAAGGAATCAAACACACCTGATCAACACAACCCTAATCAAACACACCTGATCCAGCTAATTAAGATCTTCAGGATTACTAGAAACCTCCAAGCAGGTGTGAGCTGAAGCTAAACTTTGCAGAGCTGTGGCCCTCCAGGAATTAAGTGTGAGACCTCTGCTGTAAACCAAACTGCCAAATTCTTCCTATTAATATTCTTTTATCTTAATGTTTCTAAAATCAGTAAAGACAGTGTTGAAAAAAAGTTTAAAACTACATTGCAACAGGCAGAACAAGTTATAGTTAAGACCTTTGTGTACATTCTGTGTGTACATTCACATTCTTATAATGGGTGTGGCTGTGGAACACTATAAATTCAGTCTGACAAACTTGTAATTTTTTCTCTTCAGCATCACCACAAACACTCCTGTTTGGGGGAAACCTAACTTGCACAATTTATTAGAGATATTCAAAAGGAAGGACATTATCAAGGACATATTTTTAAAACTAACGTTTTATTTATTTTTTCCCTCTTTCATTTTCCAGAAAATGTCCAGTTCAGGCAGAATCGACAAAATGCACATCTCAGGCAGTTTCTCATCTCCAAGTAGTGCTCATGATGATGAAGATAGTGATAGTTCTCAAAATGAAAGGTTAGTATACATTTTATTTTGCCTATTAAGCTAAAATTGAATTAGCAATTTAATTGATTTTGAGATAAATATTTATGTTATTAGAAGCCTGGCTTATTATTATTATTATTATTATTTTGCCATGAGCTCTAGATAAAACAAAACAATTAGAAATGTACATTTATATACAAAACAAGGCAAATACAGTCAAACCAAAATATATTCAGACACCTTCAACATTTCTCATTATCAGTTTATTTGCTATAGTTTAGAAAATGGTAATAAAATATGACAAGAACTCAGAGTTAAACTGTGTCAGAAAAAACTTAAAGGGGCCTTTGTTTTTATTTTGTGCTGTTCTCCGAGGTCCACTTATAATGGTATCAACATTTTTACATCGAAATACATAATAATTTAGAAGTAATAATCTATTTTCTGTCCTGTTTTGACACCCCTTATTGGAATGCTTTGTTTGAATAGGCGTGGAGGATTGTAGACTTGGAGCGCCCACTGGTTTGACAGCCTATATGTCCTTCATAGGTGGACGCTGCTGTGATTTAGGATAAAAACGCATAAATACTCAGTGCATATCAACCGATCTGTAAAAACAGGTAATAGAGACCACATAATAAAAACAGTTCTGTCATTACAACTCTCGGAGTGATTTGCATGGTAATATACATGACAATGTCAATGTATTTGGTCTCGGTGGAATAGATCTGCTATGCTGCTACTGCTGCTGCGGCAGAGCAAGTACCGAAACTTATGTCAATTATGTCATTGTCATATTGAGTTAGATCTATCGGACTGCGCCATGCCAGAACTTTGTATTAACACACTTGTGTGGTGCAACATTACTGTCAGATTCAATATAGTCGGCACATCATTGTCATTAGGTTCAATATTTCTGAAAATGCTGCATTGAATTGTGCCTTGTTTGTAAACGAATCAACGGTAAAATGAAGTGAACAAAGGACCATTCATTTAAAATAAAGTTCATCCAATCTTTCCTAATGTTAGGATCAGAAGGAAGTCAATGCAAAGACTGTGTTTTTCGACAACTTGACACTGCACAGCATCTTGTTGTCTTCGGAGGCATCTTTATTGTTTGATTTCTGAGTAGACCTGCTGTTTGCCTCTCGCTAATTACAATACATGTGCAAATCGGTGGGCGGGGCTAAACAGATAGCTTTGTAGAAGCAGGTGTTTATCTTCTTCTGAGGAGGCGGTGTTTAGCCACACTATTACATCATAAAGTGGCACATTCCACAACATTTTGTGGAAAAGTTTTGTGCTGAGAAATATATGATAAAAGGGCATAGCGCCCTCAGAAGACCACTATGATTATATGAATACATTACCAACATGTGATTTTTTAAATATACATTTTTGAAACATAAAAAAAGTGTACCCATATTTTGATACTCTATTTTGAATGTGGATACTTGATTATAAATGCCTGACAAATGAAAGAAGACATTTGCGAGTTATTCCATTTTACAAGTACCCAGCAAGCAATTTTGCGTTTAAAAGACGTCTATTAGATGTCTGGGTAGCTATATATCCAAATATTGCATCCAGTGCTCTTTTTGTTTTCTGTGTCACAAAATATCACGTTATTATCTTGGTATGAAAACAGCTGCAAATGATTCAGTGTTTTAGTGAACTGTCAAACAGCTGTTTAGTGAATCAAACAGCCTTAAAAAGACATACATTTAGATCATTACATGAGGTGATGGTTAAATTATAAGCACCTGCTATGGTGGTTTTGTCATCTGCTTTAAATGCTCAAGCTTTTTAAGGCAGGATGGATTCTGATTTGCTGTCAGTGTTACTGTTGGGGATTTGTCAATGGATTAAAATATATAAGAGAAAGTGTATATAGACACTGAATTAAGTAATATAGTGCGAACAGTGACGTTTTACAAATAAAATGTACTTTTTTATCTTTATAGTCACAACATGAAGGGAGAGGTTCACAGTCATTTAGAGGAGAACATTCGTCCATATATTGATCTGATTGACACTCTGCGATCAGTTGGCATTCACAAGGACTTGGCGTTACCGACTATTGTAGTGATCGGAGACCAGAGTTCTGGAAAAAGCTCTGTCTTGGAAGCGCTGTCTGGAGTTGCATTACCAAGAGGGAGCGGTGAGGACTGGTTTTACTCTCCTTTGTTATCTCTGCTATCACACCTGTTTTACACTGCAAGTGTGAGTTGCATGTCAGCAAAACTGTAGCAGCAAATGCAGTTGTACATTCACACCAGCAGCTTTTCTGTGCTATTATCTCCTAAGCAGAAATTACTAAGTAACTAGAGTGATGTGATGTCCAACAGAATTTAGGTCCAACCAGCTCCAATATACCTGCCTGCATGTTTCTGAAGACCTTAATCAGCTGCGTCAGGTGTGTTTATTTAGAGTTGGAGCTAAATTTTGCAGGACAGTGGCCCTCCAGGAACAGGTTTGGACAAGGCTGGTATAGTGCAAGTGAAAACTTTCTTTTTCTCAGTCCCACAATTCACCAGGGACTGGTTGCACTTAAGCCCTATTCGGACCGTAATTTTTTCTCATATGGATGTCTGTGAAAATAAATTTACATATCACCTCTGTGATAAAACTCGTGGATTCAGATCGTGATTTATTCACAGTGGAGAAGCGAGTTCTGTGATCCTGCGAACCCGGGAACGCGCTGCTCACGTTGTGCCAGTCACATGATTGTCTAGCTACTGTAAATAAAATGTAATAAAAAATAAAAAATATTTTTTACAAATGTATTCTTATTGTGTAAAATGTATTTAAAAAATACTTCTTATGTAAAATTTATTCTTATTATTCCAAGCATACTTTATAATATATAATCCTATTTATTATTTGATTATTTAAATCTGCTGTTTAAAAATAGGAAAATAGACGCACTAGTTCTATATAATTCTACGCGATATAGTCATGTATATAATTGTATGTAATACACATTTTAAAATTGTACTGCAGCTGCTGCCATAATAAAGGTCCATTTCGAATGTTTACGTGCTTTTCTTCTCTTTCTGCTCCTAGTCGCTGTGATGGAGCAGTTATAAAATATTGCTCTTCTAAATACTTTCCAGCATTTCATAAATATGCATGCAAATTATACAGAAGCACAACAGTTACCTTACGGTGTTCGGGAGTGCTTTAAAACGGGTTAAAACAATGAATTTTAAATCGATTTCTTCTTGTAAACTCAGAGATGTGGATTCGGACGGCAATTACATTTCCACACGACCTTGGTGTTTGTCAAAAAACAGTAGGTAATTCGGCCAGGGATTTTTAGATGGGTGGTGAGAGATAAACACCGACATCCTGGATTCGAACTGCATTAAAATCACCAACTACCCCCTGTAAATGTTGAAAATCCCCTTTGTCCCCCTGAGAAACCATCCGAATTGGGCTTTAGCCTAGCTTCATGAAGGGATGCTAATTTGCAACTTGAGCACTACCAGAGATGGTCTGATGGTGCATTCCATTTGTAGGGGAGAGCGGGGCACAGTTCTCACATTTACACGACTTTGATCAGTGGATGTTAATAGCATGTTAGTATCACACTCACCTAGTCGGTTGCTTTTTACATGGATATATTAAGTAATAATTATGATAAAGTTTCTCATTATTATGAATTCCAAGTAATTACTACTAGAAATGTTCACATTATTGTGAGATGTTAAGTCATTAAAATAACGTTTCTCAATGTTATGAGATGTTAAGTCATTATTATGAGTAAGTTTCTCATTGTGAGAAACGAAGTCATTCATTACTAAGAGAACGTTTCTCATTATTATGAGATACTAAGTCATAATCATAGAAAAATTTCTCTTTATTTTGATATACTAAGTCACAGCACGACATGACAGCATTGCACAGTTGCTGCAGACTTGTCAGCTACACATTCATGTTGCTGTAAGGTCCTATTTCACCACAGTGAAACTTCAGTTCTTCCCAAACCTGTCCTGGAGGAAAACATACCATCTTGCAGCGGAAACCAAGAATTAATCAGACTATAGGCAATGTTTTGATCTACTGCCTGGCTTTTGTTTGCATGTGCCCACTAGCATCAGTTACCTGCGTTTAGCTGACAGGAGTGACACCCAGAAGGTTCTTCTCCTGCTGTACCCTGTCTGCCCCTTCATTGTGTTGTATATGTTCAGAAAGGCTTTCCTGCATAGCCCTGTTGTAATGCTCAAACCAACCCATTTGGCACCAACAATAACCTCACAGTTTTAAGATGGGGTTCAATCACAGTTGATCCATGATTTGAATGGAACAGGCCCCACGGTTCAGCATGCATGTAACTTGTGGATTAGTTGCAAAGTTTAACCATCATAGAGTGAAATATTATCATTTGTATGTGTAGTCTTGCAGATTTAAACCATTCAAGTGATTTTAAACCATTCAAGCTCAAGAAGAGGCAAAAGAATAAAGAGTTTGGCACAGAACTCCGTTCTCTTTCACATCTCCTTGTGCTTGAACAGACACATATGCAAAAAATTCTCAAAATACCCATCTCAGCAAATATTCTCATAAACACAGTAGGTTATATCTTAAGTGAAGTGAATGTAAACAATACGAAATTGGATGTGTATAATTATAATGGATCTGTGCATTCGGTCTTAAAGTGACAGTATCCTATAAATACCTGCTGCTATCAGTGCCTTATTTGTAACTTTGTTCCTCAATTTTTTTGTTTTTGTTTTGCTGATCTGAAAAATCATCTGATCCGTGACCACAAAAAACAGTAATCTAAACCTTGAGTTTGGCAATCCGTCACACCCTTTGTTTTAATTCACTTATTCTTACCCATTTTCTGTTTGGTCTGAATAGAAACTTAACGTCTTGACTGTGTACAGTATTTGTGATTTTATGCATTGAGTTGCTGCTAGATGATTGGCTGATTAGATATTTGCATCAATTAGTAGGAGTTCCTCACTAAGTGTAAATTCAAGTTGAATGCCAATTTTAAGAGAATTATTTTTTTATTATTTAATATATAAAGCACGTCTTCAATAATTTTCCACTGCTAGTTTTCTTTTGATTACTAACTCAATTGTGTTTGATAGGAATTGTAACCAGATGTCCATTAGAGCTGAGGCTGAAGAAGGTAACAGGAGTCAACTGGAAGGCTGTTTTAACTTACCGTAAGAAAACTGATTTATGGATTCAACATCAGTTGCACAAGATTAGTAAAACTGCTTGCAGTCTCTTTTTCTTAACTTGAGGGGTTTCTTGCAGTTGACTCAAAATTTTAACCATGTTGCAGGGCCTGTTAAAGCCAGCAAACAGGCACGTGGACAAGCAACACCTCACAATGAGAAGAAATTTGAGTTTGAAGATCCTTCTTTAGTTGAAAGACATGTTGCAGCAGGTTAGTAAAACAGCATGTTGCAAAGCTAACAGCTAGTGTGATATTTCAATAAGTATAAAAATTACACAAATCTCATACATTTGCGCAAATACAGAACACAAAAATTGGGTAAATACTATATGTGACCCTGGACCACAAAACCAGTCTTAAGTGCAATTTTTCCGAAATTGAAATTTATACATCTGAAAGCTGAATAAATAAGCTTTTCATTGATGTATGGTTTGTTAGGATAGGACAATACTTGGCCGAGATACAACTATTTGAAAATATGGAATCTGAAGGTGCAAATGTA